AGAGGTAGGATCTAGGGATGTGTTTTTAAGAATAGGAATAACAATAGAATTCTTATAAGAAGTAGGAAATTTAGAGGTGGAAAGAGATAAATTAACTAATTTGAGAATGATTGGATAAAATATTGAAGAGAATTCTTTAAGTAAATTAGAAGGAAGTAGATCTAGAGAACAGGTTGTAGACGACATAGAATTAATAATTTTAGTTAGTTCTAAAAGATTTATTGGAGTAAATACAGAGAAAGATTCAGTAGTAAGTTTAGTAAAGTTATGAGAAGGAAAATTAGAATTAGATGTTCTTAAAGAAGTAATTTTATTTACAAAAAAGTCATGAAACTGTTGAGCAGAGAAAGATGAGTGAGAAGATTTTTTATGTAGGAGTTTAGATAGAACAGGCCACCTATTTTTAGATGTTGAAGCAGATGTTATAGAATTTCTAAGAAAAGTAGAGTGTTTAGAAAATAGTAGATATTTATAATTAATCAATTCAGATTCATAGATAGAATAAAGAGAGTTAGATGGATTTAACCTATAGGCTTTCTCCAGTCTTCTAAGACTTTTCTTGGCTACTACACAAGCATAATCAAACCAAGGAGCCTTACGAGAATAGAGCCTATAAGTAAAAGATTTAAGAGGAATAAGCTTATCAAGAATAGAAGTAATGTAGATATTAAAAGCACAGACAAAATCATCAACATCAGAAAATAAGGTAGTATCAAAAATAGGTTCAGTAAGAGATTGAAGAAAAAAAAATGTTAATATGAGTGTGTTCGCTGTCATTCATATGTTAAAGACATCTATCTATTAATATTAGACTCAAACTCATCACATCATCTGTCCACATTAATTACAGTGGGCCACTGAACGGCAACAAAAAATTCAAACTAAATGTTAAAATTACCCAATACAGAAGGCTCAAATTTTCCATAAACTTGGACAATTAGATGACTCTAAAATCTCTGGAATAAGTGTTGTTGTTGTATTGTGATATATTGATGAAATTTAAAAATAGTCAACTTTGCAAACAATCTTTAAATTAAAACAATTTAATTTGATAGCTAAGTCAGCAAAACTTTTTGTCCGCAACATCCTATACATGCAATAAGATTGAATTGGCATGGTGACGAGCTAAGGGATAGCTCTGTTACAGCAAGATGTTCCATTTGTTTTGTTTTGCTCTAAAGTTCTATCATGAAAAAATTTCAGCAATACAATATGCCTATTAATAACCTAGGAATTTGTTAATTTAAAATTAAAGTAATTAAATTAATTAACAATCCTTTGAGGCATGTGTGGCCTGGTATTCTTTGATCTGCATAATTTCACCATTTTCAAAGATCCGGATACAATTATTTTCAATTACATCTGACAAAAATTAAATTTAGTGAAACTATTATAATTTTGGCAATTAGATGTTAGGCGGTTTGTACATTAAATTTACAGAAAAAAATATCAGATTTTTTTACGTCTACGATAATGCAACTCTTAATTTACTTTGTTGATTGAATGATAATTTATCAAATAAAGTCAAATTTGTCAAATTTTAATCAAAATAAAAAAAAATTCTTTTTTAGAACTATCCTTTACTGCACCGATCGACACCGCTTTGCGCCGCTTGTTTTAATTTCCCATCAGAAATTAAAACAAACTCAGGTGTAGCCGATAATTTGAATATATTACGAATTAATTAATAAATATGGTTATTACAAAGTACATTATTATTTAGATGATAATTTAGGTTAAGAGGCATAAGTATAGGTTATATATAGATATATGTTAAAGTAGATAAGTAATTATAATGACAGTTAAGTTATAAAAGTAGTTTACCACGAAACAGAAAATTTACAGACATATAGCAGCTTAATATAAGAAAATTAACCAGAACACATAATACTTTATATAATAAAAACTAGGTGACATACAATAGAGACTGACTGGTTAGAAAAAATTAGAAGAGTTAAGCTCTAGGGAGCAAGGTCTCCTGGTATATAATGAGCACATAAGTTTGAGGACAGATTTAACATACTTCTTACTCTTTAACACCTTTCAACACTACTTACACACTTTTACACTTCTTCACTTTATTCACAATATTTCCGTTTCATTTTAAATTTTAATTCTCAGCTCAAGTTTCGATATTTTGTTAGATAAAATATATTTAATTACAATTATGATAATAAAATTGTATAAACAATAATGGGTGAGTCGTTTCTCGTTCGATTTCGATTATTAAGCTTTATAAACTTTATAACATCCTAAACACTGATACTGACCATACAAAAGTCTCAAATTAAAATTATTTATCATTAATTTATTTTTGAGTTATTTAACGTTGAGCGAGCGAGTTTACAGAAACAGAAAGAATTTCCCCAAGTACTATGATGTTCGTTCGGTAGAATGATGAAGAGCGAGAACCTATAACAATATTTTATCCTCCAGCAAATAGAGTTCACAACATTTTAAAAAATATAATAAATATTTTTTTGCTTACTTCAATTTTAGTAATAAATAAACACGAGATTGTTTGTAATAAATATTCGTAATTAGTTTTTTGGGATTTTTATCAAAGGTAAAAATGAAAGAAAATGAAAACACGCAAAACATGCTGACTGCTATTAGAGTTTTTTCTAAAAGAGAAATTGAATCCTTGACAACGCCAGTAGTCAAATCAAAGTATTTAGTTATATTAAATAAACTTGAAAATTCATTTTAAACCCTTTTTTTTTATTTTTTTCCTACTGCTCACTACTACATCTATTGTGTAACGGAGTCGAATTAAAAAAATTCAATTCCGATCCCTCAAACAAAAGTAAAATTTTTCAAATCCGACTCTCAACTCCGACTTCGGGTTCCGAATTCCAGAAAATTTTTAAAACCTTGTATCATAATTTTACCTTATTATTACTACTAAATAAAAAAATACTTTAAAAACACTTGAAATCAGTCAATGTATTTGTTTTTCAGAGTAAAATTACATTATTTTTATGTTTTAAAACATGCTGAAAAAAAATGTTCAACTTTTGCACCATAATTTCACCTTATTATCACTACTAAAAAAATACTTTAAGCAAACTCTTAAAATCAGTCAATGTAAGTGTTTTTCTTAATAAATTTATTTTATTTTTATGTTTTACAACATACTGAAAAAAAATTATGTGATCCTATTCATATTATTATTATTTATTCTCAGTGTTAAAAATGATTGCTGATTGCTACGTATATTTATCTTATCTTCTAAAAAAACACAATCGTAAAAATTTTTCCGCATTCTAATAAAAAAATCCTACTCCAGCTCCGGCCCCTAAAAAACAATCCGACGCGGGGCTCTCAATAAATGCTACTATCCACGATGATAAAGTAAATAAGCTCAAACCAAAAGTCCTCATGCTTCTATCCAAAAATATATCAAAGATGTAAAATATACAAAATAAAATAAATGCCACCTATTCAGCAATCACACTTACAATCATAAACACACT